GGGGAAAGAAAGGAGAGGAGAGAAGAGGAGATGACAAGAGAGAAGAGAGGCAGGAGGAGGCAGTGTTGACTTTCTCAGAAGCTAACCACACACAGTAGGCTGCCTTTAGGAAAGAGTGAGTGTACAACCACCTTGGAATGGGAAGGTGGATCTGCTCCCTGTGGGATAGAAGGGTGTGAACCTGAGATCCCATCTGCTAGGGATGGGACCCCATCTTCATGTACTCATCCAGGTGGCAGCTATAAAATCAAGGCTGTGGAAGGAGATTTGGATATAAGATCCATCTCACCCATGGCAGATAGGATCTCCTGGACATTCTAGACAGCCTTCCTATAGTACCTGGTCACATTGGGCTGGCGTTTGTGCTGACCCTATATTTACTGCCGACAACCTAACTTGTTCCATTTCTGAGGAACTCTGATGTGAGGAGGGGGGCTCAGAGGGAACAGAGGCATCTTGATTTTGCAGATAGTTTTACCAGTTGACTGCCTGCCAATCGATGGAGGCAGATAGTCTTCATTCCCTGCCAACTTACAACTTCCCAACTTGGAGGTGGTCAGCAAATGGAGTCTGGTAAAACTGACCTGGCCACCAGAAAGGACCAGGAGCTTTCCTGACCCACCAATTTATTTTCTCTCAAACTCCTATATTCTAAACCTCCAGCCCCTTCTCTCTTGGCTAGTACCTTGACACTAGGTATGAGTGACTGCCTAGTCAGGCAGTGGTGGTGCACGCCTTTAATCCCGGCTGTCAGAAGGCAGAGGCTGGTGGATTTCCATGAGTTTGAGGCCAGCCTGGTCTACATGAGTGAGTTCTAGGACAGCAATGATAGTTACAGAGAGAAACCCTGTCTTGAGAAACTTTTTTTTTTTAAAGTGTCTGGATAGTGAAAACCTAATCCTGGGAAATGGGCTGGGCTGTGACCAGGCAGCTCCTTTATCCAAACCTGTCTCTGCAGACATCAAAGGACTGCCATCCAAAGAGAGGCCCTGATGCCTCAAGGCCAATGAGAACCTACCTAAGAGTTATCATGTGTCCTTATACAGACTGGGACTTCTTAGACCCAGAAGAATCCCCCATAGCTCCGCCGTCCAGTGCTACCGGAGTAGATGCAGAGACCCAGGCCTATACTGGCCTAGATCGTGCCTGACAGAACACTCGTACCCCAGCCTGGGATGTCCCCACAAAGCACTTGCCACCAGCAGAGTAGCCCTCACCCTGACCTAGTCTATGTCCCACAAAGATCACTAGTTCTTTGTCAACTGCCTTCACAGAACAGTGGGTGCACTCTGGGGATTCTCACCAGGGTACCCTAAGAAGCAGTTTGGTACAGCCTAACCCAGTTCCCAGCCCCTCCCCCAAAACACACAGAGGGCATGTCTAGTCACAGTAAACCTTCTCTAAAACGGCCACTCTTGGGGGGATGGTGTACAAGATCTTTGCATGCTGGAGTCTTTAAAGAACTCGGCAAGAACACTCAGGTCATGAATGCTAGGTCTGAGCAGTTGCAGATGAGGAAACTGAGGCACTGGATGGTGACCCTTTATCTTCTCCCCCTTACCTCAAAGTGGTATCTCAACCCCGATCCCAATAGCTCAAGTTCCCAGAGGAAAAGGCCTGGTCTACCTCCCCTGGGTCTCATCCCCGAGCACGCCCCTACTTCTTTAAGGCTCACCAAACCCTGTCATAACCCTCTCAGGGAAACTGAGGCATAGGCAACTACTGATACAGTAGTAATGTCACCCTGCCAGGACCATCCTGTGTTGGGCCATCTGTTCCAGGCTTTTCCCAACACTGCCTACCTCAAGCAAACAGGGCAATATGAGAGCTTCTGGACTCAGCAAAGGTAGGTCTTTGATGTCTCAAAAGTACCAGGTGTCTGGTTTCCCCTCCTCAAGCCAAGATGGGGATCTGAAGGAGCTGGAGGGAAGGTGAGAGAAAACCTAGGATCCACCAGGAGGAAGACGTTGTCTGGGTAAAGCTTGACCTCCCTCTGTCTTGAGGAAGCCCTGACTTGGTCTAACCTGGCTCAGCTCTGCCATGTGTGCAGAGAGCTCCAGGCCTGAGCTTCTAATCTTCCCATCTTCAGCGCACACCCTGGGAGGGCAAGGATGGAGGAATCGCTCCACTGGGCTACAGCCTCTCGGATCAAGGCTCTCAATATTGTGCAAGGCCCTCTGAGGATCAGAGGAACAGGTGATCCAGGAAGGAAGAAACCCTGCCTAGGTGACCCTCAGGTTGTCCTATTGGTCAGTAGGTGTGGGATTAGGTCAGAAAGCTTTCCAGGGTAGATAGCGACCTGGAGCAGGGCCCTTATCAAAGCAGCATCATATGCTAAGGAAATCAGGGTACAGACATCCCAGGGGTCAGATGAACCATGTACCTGAGGGAAACAGGCAGCCAGGTAGAGAGAACCAGGCCTATGCAGAGAGTATCTGTCCACCTGAGTTTGCCCCCAGTGAGAGGAGCCATGGCTCCACGTAGAATTGGGGTTCCATGACATGGATAGTGATGGACTCTGAGGCCCTTAAAGGCATGCTGAGCCATTATCTGTGAGCTACATGACTGCCCATAGCTCTTGAGATACTGCGCAGTGGAGTTGTAGGGGGGTTGAGGGTTGGTTTCCTTCCCTTGGTGTCACCCAGCAGTCCCAGAAGAGCCATTTGCAGCCCTGTGGAGATGCCACACCCTGCTCCCAGAGGACAGAAACAAGCTAATGACCCTGTGTTGGGTAGACAGACAAAGAGAGAGCACTCCACCAGAGGAAGAGTGGCCGTCCTGTATCAACGACGTGGGAACACTGGAGTGGTACACAGTAGCGCTCCAGTCATCTGAGGGCTCTGTGAGAGGGGCTTGGCCTTAGCCTGCCCGCCTTGGGCCTGGCATGCACATGCGTCCCACTATGCTCACCCTGGTATACTTGGACAGGTATGAGGGCGCCTGCCCTTCTCCGCCTCCCCATTTGCGCACCACGAGCTCAGCGGAGAGAGGGGCCCTGATACGACTTGGCCTCTGCCTGGTATGCCTGGTCCTCTATGGGCACATGGGGTGGGGACCCCCTGATCTGTTCCATCCCAAACTGACCCTGCTCAGTTCTGGCCTTCTGGGGTTTCCTGAGCAGGGAATTATTAGGCCAAAAATCCCCCGCTGGGCACCAGGGACCTCTTACCACTTTAAACAGGAGAATCCCCGGCCCCTGAGTCACCCTGTGAAAGGGCAGTTCCACCTCTCCCTGGGTCTCGGTTTCATTCTGAAAGGTCAGCGGTGCGCTTTGTTCTCTTTCTTCCACCATTTTGGGGAGGACATCTCTAGGGGATTCCCAGGCCCGCTGAGGTCTTAGAACTGTGGAACAGCAGTTGTTGACAGACGGGCACAGGTGCAGTCCATCCCCAGTCCTACAGTAAGATGCCCAGGGATCTGCTGTGCCTGCCAGAGCTGTGGGCACCCTTGACTGTGTTGCCTAGACCTCGGCATTTGAGACAGCTGAAGAGAGGGGGCCGAGGAAGGGCCCAGGAGGAGGGCGGGGCCGGCGGGACTGCTTGTGTCTGCCCTTCTATGGGCACAAGGTGGCAGGGGACTGACGTGAGGACATTTCTGAACAGGGTCACAGCTGTCGCCCGATCTCCCTGTTCTACACACCCCATAACTTGTGTCCTTACCCAGCCTGGGCAGAGTGTCCTTAGAGCCCTTCTTGGGCCCTCATGATACATGTCCCCTGTCCCAGGAGACAGCTCTCACAGAGCCTTTCTGGGGATAATGTGGCCCTGGAAACCCCAGGCTGGCACAAGGATGCTGACCCAGGCCAGGCCAGCCTCTGTTTAGCCTCAGACTCCTTTCCTGGCTGGAGGGTTCGCTGGACAGTTCTCCAACTAGGGCCTATCAGGAAAGTGGGGAGCCTGAGGTTGGCCCTCTGCCCCCAACATGCTCCCCTCACAGTGAGGCCTCTTTGCCATTATCTGATAGGACTGAGGGATTCCTGTCTCTGTCCAAGATCTGGAGCCTGACTCCATTTTACAAGGCTGTCTGGGCCTGCATGACTCTGCAACACCTGCTGAGGTGGCCTTCGCTCTTTGAGCCTGTGGGTGAACCCCAAGGGCCACACCTTCCTGGACAGCCTGACATCACCAGCAGCAGGCTCTAGGACTCTCGAGGTCTTACCTCCTTCCCCTTCCTCTTACACACCTGGACCACAGCCCCCACATCCTGCTCCCATGAGGCCTCTAGTCCCTGACTGTAGAATGTCCCCTTCTGTCTCAGCCTGGCCCAGAGACCTGACACTTTCTTCTGAGACCTGTTCCTACAACTGAGCAGAGCAGGCACACACGGCTTGACTTAGTCTCCATGTCTGCCTACTGACAGTCCCGTCCCATGACCCCCAGCTTATGACCCAACACAGGGCAGAACTTAGCAGTTCTTTAACTCACAGATACCCTTAGGCAACTGACAGTCAATGGGCCTCTGCTCACCTCTGTCTGTGGCAGAGGAGTGGCTCCTTTACTTCCTCTGATATTCCCTTCCCATACCCACTGTACCCAACAACAGTGTCTGGTCCACAAGGGGCCATTGAGAATCATCTCACAGCAGCTTTGGGAACCTCTGAGACCCGACCACCCCTGAGTATCTCAAGGCAGGCCACACCCCTCAGACAAACCTACTGGTGAGGAGTCAGCAGCCTGGCCAAGATTCACAACAACTCCAGTTTCTCCCAACATAACTGTTGCTGTCTCAACAGTGGCCCACTGATCAGGCCACATCCAGGCATGCCCAGTTCCTTCCACCCCAAGCATCTACCCACTTTGTTCTGGCTATGGACCCTAGCCAGGGATCTAGTCTTGCCCAGTTAGGCCAGTTAGGCTGTAGAGGCAGATAGAAGAGACACAGACCTCTATGGTGAAGAGGGGGTTTCTGCAGAACCTCCAAATCCCCAGTGGGTAGCCACTCTCCAAGACTCTGTCCCTGCAGGACTTGGCACAAAGCAAGCCGCCTGCTGTGGGGCTTACCCTTTGCTGTCTTCTGCATGCAGCTCTTCCTGCTCCTCGCAGCTTGGATCGCTGGCAGCCTCCGCCATGGGTCTGATGTCTTTGGTGTGGTTCCACTCTTTGTGGCTCCCAGTGCTTTTCTGTAGATGGGCCGTGGCCTAGAACCCCCACCCCGGCAGGTTTCACTTCCTCCTTCCGGTAGCAGGTTGAGGTTTGGAACCTATTGGGACTTGGGTTGGGGTGTTGTTTTTTGACAAAGTTGCTGCAAGAGAAGAAGAAGAAGAAAACTAAACCCAAACCACTTGTCAGGAAGTGTTGAGCAAGCTGCAGCCGCCTGGGGTGACAGAAAAGGGCTGGGGGCAGAGGTGGGTAAAGATGCTCCTCAAAGTTCCGGCTCACGTAGCTGGGACACCCTGTGTATCTCTAGGGTTCCTGCCAGCAGTTCTGAAAGTAGCTAGCTCTCCGAGGGTCCAGAATTCATGGTCCCTTCAGCATCTGTGGACTCTGCTTTCAACTGCTTTACATGGAAATTCTCTGTGCTTCCATGTGTGCTCACAGAACGTGGTGGAATCAGTTCTTGTGACTTCAAGGCCTTGGACACTCTTAACTCGTCTTTGCTTTCCAGCCATGTCCAGGATCCTACACACGGCGCTCTGTAGGTCTAGAGCTTGCCTCAATCTGTCCCCACTCCTAGCTGCTGGACACCTGCATCTCCTTGCTCTGCCAGTTCAGTTCTCTTTAATCCTGTTTTTGTGCTCTGGGTATTTGGAACCACTCTCAGAGTTGGTTGATGCTCCCAGCCAAAATGGAGTGGGTCATGGGTTATCCTGAGATCACCAGGACAGTAGCAGGACCAGGGGATGAACAGAGGCTTCTGGGAGGAAACCCAAGGGACTCTGGGTCATCAAGGAATGTTGGAGAGTATGAAGACCAGATTCTAGAGCTCCAGTACTTGGATTGAGGTGTCACTGGGCCAAGTTGGGGCAGTCATAGCATGGCAGAGACTCCCTGCTTCAGATCTGCTAGCCCAAGAGATAGAAAGAAAGGCCAGTGGGTAATCTCAGGAATCCAGCTGTGAAGTTTTTCAGGGGAAGAGGGACAAGAGTGCAGGAGAGAGCCTAGGGGTGTTGGGAAACTCAGTGGAACCCTAGAGTGACATCCAGAAGCAGGCCAGTGCTTGCAAACCTGCCTGGAGGCCATGAGTCCTTTCTTACCCATGTGATCTAATGGTGGGCAAAGCCTGGTTCACTCTGTCCCAATCCTGAGAAAGAGACACAAAGAAGACCCAGGTGAGCAGTGTCCAGTAGGCTAGGCCAGACCCCTGTCTGCCTCCTCTTTAGCCTTCTGTCCCTTTTTGTACTTTGCTTCCTTGGGAGCCTCCCAAGTACTCTGTTGGTAAGTGGCTGGGAGCACATGTGGCAGGCGACAGAGCTGTGACAGTTCTGTCATGACACCTCTTCAGGGGTTCCCACAGGTTCCTATGTCTGCCACGGGGCTCCTCCATCCAGGCACCTTTTCTGTGGATTCCAACCACTATTCTTTTTGCTTGTCTGTTTTTGTTTTTCAAGACAGGGTTTCTCTGTAGCTTTGGAGCATGTCCCGGAACTAGCTCTTGTAGCCCAGGCTGGCCTCGAACTCACAGAGATCCACCTGCCTCTGCCTCCCGAGTGCGGGGATTAAAGGCATGTGCCACCACCACCCAGCCCAGCCTCTATTCTGTATGACCTTTCTCTGGCTCGCTGGGCCTTAGGACTGGGGGATGGGCAGGTGGCGGCTGTCTGTAGGCTGGACTGACTTCCCAGTCTTCAAGGCCTCTCATCCAGCAGTCAACATCTATCTTCCAGAGGGAAATTCAGATCCTGCTAGCACAAACTCTTCAGGCCTGCAAAGGCAACTTCTGCCCAAGGGGAAGTCCCAGTCTGGATCTCCCAAAGCGGAAGTGTTATAAAGTCTGCCCCAAGAGTAGCAGTGTGGAGGGCAGGACTCCTGAAAAGGGTGTGGGTATTCCACCTAAGTCATATCAGGGAAATGACTTTGCTGTCAATGTGAATTCTGGGCTAGCAAGATGACTTCATGGGTAAAGGTACTCATGAGACCGACCTGATAATCTGAGTTCAATCCCTGGGACCCACTTAGTAAAAGGAGAGAACTGATTTCCACAGGTTCTTCTCTGACCTCCACATCCACACACCTTTTCTGTGGATTCCAGCCACTACTATGTATGACCTTCCTCTGGCCCGCTGGGCGTTAGGACTGGGGAATGGGCAGGTGGAAGCCATTGGTTGTCTATAGGTTGGGCTGGCTTCCAAATTTTCAGAGCTCCTGTTCATCAGCTAGCATCTTCCAAAGGGAAATTCAGGCCCTACCAACACACACACACACAAACACACACACACACACACACACACACACACACACACACACACACACA